TGGTGTGAATGTACTTAATGTCACCGAACAGCACACTTAAAAATTGTTAAGGTGGTAAATTTATGTACATTTTAGCAAAGTGAAAAAAAGAAAGCAGTAGATCTTTAAATTTGGACTGGTGAAGTGCTCATTTCATTATATATCACAAAGTACTATGTCAAAATTGAGAAGTGGGGAGTTTTCATCATGTTTTAGGACAACGCCAAGTTATTCTTTTGTTCATAGACTAATGTAAGTAGATTACTTGGTACAGAGGCAACAAGTCCAGGTGGAAAGTGAGTTGTGTAGTACTAATGCTTCAAAAGCACACGTCAGAGAGGATGGTGGGATCCATGCTGGATGTCTTCCTGAGCCTTCGTGCACGGAGGTAGAATTGGAGTGGACCCTTCTTGAGTTCAAGGCAGAAGCTCTCAAATTTACTTTGTTGGCSGTGAAATTTATGTATGTATTCCAGGAGGTTCAGTCAGTAAACATTTCACTGAGCTTTTCCTAGAGGTCAGGCATTCTGCATACACTGATGACCTCAACCAGGAAGGCCTGTCCCAAGAGGTCACACTCCACAGGATGGGGCCGGATGCCTATGAAGGTGAAGAGATCCTGGGTTTTGTGGCAGACAGCCCCCTGACTGTTCAAGAATTCACAGATCCTATAATTTACATATGTAGTCTGCTTTATTTTTATAGTATGCTTATTTTTCAAGCTTTTTTGACAGTAGAACTAATTTTGTGAGATAAATGAGTGTCCCTCATGGAAGCCACAAGGAAATGCTGGCTTCAAGTCCTTGGAGTTACAGACGTAGCAGCCTGTACAGATTCATCTTTGTGGAGAACACACTGGTGACTTGCTCCATCTGAATCCCTCCCAGGGAGAAGACATGGGTCTCTGGAGCTGAGACCRGAGTGGACCTAGTTAATAAAGCAGTGGACAGAGCCCCACTCTGGAAAGGACCATCCTGAAGGGTCCCCYGCCTGTGTGTGTGTTAGCTCCCCTCTGCGTCTCCTTTTGTGTGATAAAGGGCAGAAGGTGGATCCAAGATCTTTACGTTAGAATGTAAAATGATGAAATAATTTAAGCACAGGAACAGGTCAGAAACAAATATAGCACTTTGTGCAACTGTACTAAGATTATAGATTTTGCTATCTGTGTTACATGCTAGGCATGCCCTACCACACTCCCAGCCCTACTTTTATTGGGGGGGGGGCATAGTGTTACTGTGGTTTGAACCCAGAGGTGCTTTACCATTGAATTACATCCCCAGCACTTTTTTTCATTTTGAGACAGGATCTTGCTAAGTTGCTGAGGGCCTTGCTAAGTCGCTGAGGCTGGCTTTGAAATCAAGATCCCCCTGCCTCAGCCTCCCCTGAGCCGCTGGGATCACAGATATGCACCACTGTGCCTGGCTACATGTCTTTTTTTAAAAAAAATATATCTATTTTTTAGCTGGACACGATATCTTTATGTATTTATTTTTATGTGGTGCTAAGGATCGAACCCAGGGCCTCACATGTGCTAGGCGAGCGCTCTACCACTGAGCCACAACCCCAGCCCCTACATGTCTTTTTTTTTTTTTAAAGGAGGAAAATGCATGGCTGAAGTCTCACCTTGTCTGTTCCCTCTTCATTCCCAGAGAGAGACATAGATTTCCTTTTTGATTCAAATTTTGGTAGCTTTGCTGCGTGTGTGGTCATAAATAATACACAGTCTAGTGATTGTTGTAGTTGTCCTGAGTGTGGTTTAGAACTAAGAAAAGAAAAAATGAAGAAACTCTGAGTAGCCAGAAGAGGCCTCACAGAGCTTGGGACAAACCTACATGTATTCCTCATGGAGTAGTCCTCTGTGCTGCTGTCACTTGGACAATGTGTCTGGGCTCCTCAGGTCTCAGCACCTTGGAAGTATATCAAGAATACTGGGGTTGGGTTGAGGGCTGAGGTCAGAATGAATAGCAGTGGCCTGTTGGTGAAAAGATGGCAGAACTAACCAAGCCAACAATGGGCTCTGATGACTTCCTTGTGAATTTTATGCATGTGATATAGATTGTTCAGGTTAAGAAGTCTGAAAAGTACACATTAGAGCTTTGAAAACCTTGCAGCTGGAATGATTAAAACAAAACTAGTAATAATCATTAAAGACTCAGACCTTAATCCGGGCATGGTAGCACATGCCTGTAATTCCAGCGGTTCTAGAGGCTGAGGCTAGAGGATCATGGGTCCAAAGCCAGCCTCAGTAATTTAGCAAGGCCCTATGCAACTTAGCAGGACCCTGTCTCAAAATAACAAAATAAAAAGGGTTGAAGATTAGATGTAGCTCAATGATTAAGGAACCCAGGATTCAATCCCCGGCACCARAACAAACAAACCAACAAACCAGACCTCAGTTCGGGCACCTACAGGAGATATTTATTATATTAAGAAATGGGCTTTTAAAGGTTACTCTTAGAAAATAGTTTAACAGGTTAGAGACAGCCCTACAATTTATAAATTTAAAAAGTAGTAATAGTATCTGCATAAACTTCAAGGTAGGATTATTACATTTCTGACCACACTATTAGTATGAATTAATAAAGAAATTATTAATAATTAATACTATAACCCTGTTTTGCAGTTGGAGATTTATGACAAGTTTTGTGATTGACCATGTTCAGATAACTAAGGGACAGTGGGAATTGGGTTTCTATTCATGCATTTCTAACCGAGATCCRCTGGAGAGCCAGTTGTCCATCATCTTAGGTTTCCTCATCCCAGGCTCACAGAGAGAGGTGTCAGTGAAGTTGGTCCCAAAGGAATGAATTAGACCATATACTTTAGAGGATGGCAGATCGTTTTTGATGGCTAAAGATAGCAACTAGGGCTCCTAAGCATGGTTTTACCTCTGTAGTTTGCTTAGTTTTGCTAGTTATGGTAGCTCTGTGGATGATTTACTTGTGCCCTTCCCTAACCCCCTGGCCCCCTGACCTGCCCCAAGCATCCCAGAGTTAGAATGCATAGTAAGAGTCTAGTAAGTGGTGGCTGTTCTGGTGTTAGTAGGTTCCTGCAATATGTCCTCTTGTTGTCTTGCTTGGCAGGCAGCCCCCCACCCAGGAACACTTTGATATTGTGCGCAAGGGTTTCCATAAAGCAGCAAGTCAACATATTCAAGCATAACTCCTAGGGGAGTTGCTGGCTGTGTTGACTGAGCTTTACAGTCATTTTAACACTAGCAAAAGTGTTATCCTCACTGCTTCAAATCAAACTGCAAAGATGCTCGTGTGAAATATAGTATTAGATATCAAATCAAACATATGGGTGTTGAACGGGAGGATGTGTAGTGTTCTAGCATGCAGAGTTGTATTTTATGGAAATTCTTTGGCTTGGTATGTGGCAGGGACATACATGCATTATGAAATATCAAGCTGAAAAATAAATAAAAGCAAGGAATTTAACCGTGCTGTTAAATGGCTTTTCATTGCAAACTCGTCTGCTCTAATGTTGCAGGCACCTTATGATAAGAGGTGTTGTGAGCCGTGGTGTTKGTGATAATTGCTGATAGATTTTAAAAATAATCTGGATTACGTTGAAAGAAATACTGTACTAATTTGTCTTAGAAATTTTCCTTCTTTGTCATTCTTTCTTTTGCCTCATTCAGTGTTTCTATATTGAATTTGACTTTTCAGCGTGTATCTGGTACTCCTTAATTTCTTGAGTGTGTGGGCTTATGGGGCTCAGGTTCTTGGAGTTCCCAAAGGAACCATATTGTGGTATTAACAGAATGACTTCACCATTCTTGGCTCTGGAGTGTTCTTTACTGTTCTGATTTCTTGGTTTTCTTTTCCTATCTTGCTCTTTTAATTAGGAGAAAAAGAAAATCAATAGACTTCTTATTTTAAAACACTTAAAAATTCTCATTTTAAAAAATCTGAAAAATACTATTAAGGGTCTATTGATTGCACAAGGAAGGATTTTCCTCTGAAAAATGCTTTAACAAATATTTAGGGTCATGTAAATTAGAGATGGAGAAGATTGTTTGGGCCATTTTGGTCTATTTTATAKTGGGCTTTATTATTTATTAATTATTATTTCCTGTTTTATCAACTAGATATGAATATATTTCCTTCAGGAACCTGAATTGGTGGTTTGATACCCACAGTATTGTTTTCTATGTGTTTGCATTGGTCAGTTTTCCACCATTAGAAGAAATACCTGAGATTATCAACTTAGTGAAGGTTTCTCTTGGTTCACAGTTTTGGTGAGGCCAACGCATCATGGCAGGAACATGTGGGTGGAGTAAGACTGAGAGTGAGAAAGGTGCTGGAGTCTTACAGTCCCCTTCAAGGGCATGGCTGCAGTGACTTCAAGACCTTCCACTAGGCCTCTTCTCTTACACAGAGGCCTCTAACACATGGGCGTTTGAGGGACATTTAAGCTCCAAACTATAAGGGGTATTGCTTTCAAAGGGTTTCATTTGATGGTAAAGGAATGCATTTCTTTTTAGCAAAAATAGTGAGTGGAATTGCTGATGTAAGTGGCTCACATCGTGTTGGAAATGTAATTGGGATGTTCTAACTTTAGTTATTCTGAACTTGGAAACAGACACGCACGGTGTGATACACTCAAAACACAGGCATCCTACAAAATATMAATGAATTAACATAGATTGTGTGAATCCATATTTACACTGTTGCATGGGAATGGACTTAACATAATACCTCTTTGACTTTCTTAGCCGAGGCATTTGTAAAATATCTGTATTAGTAGCTTTTTTTCTCACTAGATTTTTATGGCTTTCTCAATACTTGCTATCTGATAAAATATGGTTTTTAAAGGTAAAGTCAAAAAATTTTTTACTTCATTGATAGTATGTGAAGAGAAGGAAGTATGTTGATTTATGTAATGAAGAGAGGATTAATAATATTGAATTCAACTGCTTACAAGAGTTCACACCATGTTACTGAATTGAAACTATATTTGATTTCATTTAATTGCACATTTTGATTCTCTCATTTGTTTTGCTTGACTTTTTGACAGATGCCACCTCAGTATGGACAGCAAGGTGTGAGTGGCTACTGCCAACAAGGCCAACAGCCATATTACAACCAGCAGCCCCAGCCCCCGCATCTCCCGCCCCAGGCGCAGTATTTGCCATCCCAGTCCCAGCAGAGGTACCAGCCGCAGCAGGTGAGCATAGCCCATTGCCTTCCCCAGCGCTTGTTTTCTCCTCCAGGCCTGTGTTCAGAGGCAGATCATGCTCTGAAAAATYTTTCTGTCCCATTTTAATAATTGTGCTCTCAGTAGAAAACAAAGGTAATTTTGAGAACATGCAAACCTATAGCCTAATCTAATTCCCTTCCTCTTTCCTCCTCCCCACCTCCTTATTCCTTCATTCTTTCCTGCATGTGTGAGATTAAAGAGTGGGAAAAGTGACTAGTTTAATAGCTGCTTGCATTTCTGGTTGGTGACAGTAGAAACTGTCACTCATTTCATGTTATTTGTCATTTGCCTTCTAAGTCTTTCAAGAAAGTRYTCTGTTGTTGTGTAAGGCTTGTTCAGGAAAAGGGTTTTTGCCTGTTCCTACTTGTTGGCACATGCGTGATATTTTTATCTTGACTTTTTATTTAGGTTTGTTTTATTATTAAGCGATGCTGGGTGAAAATGTTGCTTATAAACGGAAATGTAGCTTATAAACAGATAATCACTTCAGTAATAATATATTAAAATACTAATGGGAATCATCTGCGTTAAGTAAAAAGTTTCTACTTTAAATTAACCTCATTAAAATACTGCTTTATGTTATTGGGCAATATATTTGAGTTTATATGATTAAGAAAAATAGTACATGTGTATTTGGTAAAGTGATTGAGTTCCATGTTGTCTTAGAGACTGTCACATAGGTGTGAAGTACAGTGAAGTCCTGAGCAGGGACTCTTCACTCTGAACACAATGCGATTGTCATAGCTCTGCCAGTCATAAGCATCAAAATGCAGCTTTCCATTTTAATCTTTCCCCCRCTTCTCTCTTTTTTGGGGTGGAGGTAGTAAAGAGAAAATGTGTACTTTTTCATTTTTAAAGAGCTTCTTTTATAGCTTGAAAAGACTGTTGATCATAAGCSAAAACTAAAACTACATGGAGCTTAAATTTTGGTCAATTTAGTGAATTTCTTAACTATTTTCTTGGATTTGTTGGAGTCAGCACCCATGTGACTTTGATTACAGAGTTCTAAAGAGAGTTTATGACTTTAAACAAAACATGTTAAAACCGCAGGAAAGATTCAAGATTCTGTACAATTTTTCTTTCTGTGTGTGTGTTTGCAAAATTTTGGTAATATAGCTAGGGTTATATAGAACCTCTATCAGTAGGGAGGTGCATTATCTCAGAGCTGTCTGGTCTAGCTTTTGTTAAAGTGTGTGAATGTTTTAAAGCACTTCAAATATCAGCTCTTTTAAAGTGAAAGAGACTGGTATCTGGGGTTTCCATAGAAAAGTTATAGGCTTTTTCAAGGGGCTTTCAGAGACTTATTGAACTTATCTGTAGACATAGAATGTTTTGTCATGTCATCAAAATTTAAGGACTCAGTAGAGAGATTACATTACTCATTTTACTCTCTGATTGTAAAACCAGTTTGATTAAGGATTTTGAGTGCCTGTCATTTCCTTCAAGACCAAACTCAAAATTTACTTCCTTTATGAAGCATTCACTGATGACTTCCAGCAGATGGCAATTAGATATTTAATATCCTTCACATTTAAATATTGAAAGCACAGTACAGGTAGAGTCTTATTGTAATGAATACTGTTTTAATGTGCTAAATTGAGGGCTGTCTTGTGCGTTGATCGTACCATTATTTTATTGATTCAAATACAGTAAATTTTATGGCAAGAAATACTAGAGAATCATGATTCTTATGAATATGATCATTTTTATGTATTCTGAATTTTGAATAAAACCAGAATTCCTCAAAATGTGTTAAATTTTTTTGTGTTCAAACTCGAGCTATAGAATATCTGAGGTTTTGTTTGTTTTTGTTTTTTTTTTTAAGTTTTATTATACTCCTGTAGGATAAAAGGGTTGAAATTGAAGATATTTAACTGACTTAGTCAGATGGTCTGATTTGACAGGACCAGTCCTGGTGTCTAGGGAGTTAGAAGGCCAAGTAGATCTGGGACGTTCCCCTCTAAGAAATGAGTTCTAGTTTTGTAGATACAGTTGGTATCTCTGACACCAAAATAATACTCCAAAATCAATCCTAAAACAAAATAAAAGATACCAATAGAATATTATTACAACCAGGCCAAATTTTAATAAAGAACTTAGAATACTGAATTCATGTGCATTTAAAAACCTAGTAAATTCAACTGTATTTAGTTTGATCAATCAATATTTCATAACAATAAGAACATTCTTTCATACAGACTTTCTCTCTCTCTCTCTCTCTCTCTCTCTCTCTCAAACCTGTTGATTTCATAGAAGGCACTCAGCAAATAATGACTTTGGTTAAAATGATGTATACAATAGCTAATTTTAGGGTTCATTAAGATACCTACTTCGTATTTAAAAAAATTTTTTTTGGAGGGGGGCAGTACTAGGGATTGAACCTAGGACTTCATACTAGGCAAGGACTCTTAACACTGAGCAATATTCCCAACCCTTTTAATTTTAATTTGTTTTTTTTTTTAAATATATTTATTTACTTTAAAATTTTTTTTTTTTAGTTGTAGGCAGACACAATTTATTTATTTATTTATTTTTATGTGGTGCTGAGGATCAAACCCAGTGCCTCACATGTGCCAGGCAAGTGTTCTACCRCTGAGCCACAACCTCAGCCCATTAACTTTTATTTTTAGACAGGGTTTCCCTAAGTTGCTTTTGCTGGCCTCAAATTTGGCAGTCCTCCTGCCTCAGTCTTCTGAGTAGTTTGGATTATAGGTKTGTGCCACTGAGCCAGTTGGTAATGTGTTTAATGTTTTGGTTAATCAACACAATCATGTTTTTCAAAAATTTTAAAAGTACAAGGAAAAGATACAGAGAAAAGTGCCTTACCCATCTTAATTCCCCTTTACCACCTACCTTGCCCTTTTGCTAGATAACCATTGTATTAGTTTATTGTATGTTTTTCTGGAGATTGCAAAATGCCATATTTTAATTTTACCCTGTTTTTATACCAAATATAGCATATTTTAATGTACTGTACAGACTCTGTTTATAGTTTTTATATTTGTTTTTATAGAGTTATTCCATTTTGTGGACATATCATATGTTTAGCTAGTTCTCTTTGATGGTCATTTAGATTATTTCAATTCAAACAATGTTGCCCTGATAAACTAATTATGTGCCATTTCATAAGCACAGTAATGTCTGTAGGACAAATTCCTGAAAGCAACTTGCTGGGTCAAAGTTTGCTCTTCTCGAAGATATTGCCAGGTTGCACTCCACAGAGTCCGCCAGTTTACACTCTGCTATTTAGGTGTGAGAGGACTGTTCTCTGTACATAATGTGGTGTGATTTTATGAAAGCCTCTGGATTTTTGCCAATCTGATAATAGGGTTTTAGTTTACAGTTATCTTGTTATGAGTGATGATGAGTGTCATCTTATTTGTTTAAAAGCATTTGTGTTTTCTAATTTTCCTGCACTGTAAATTTATTGTTTTTTTATCTTGATTTTTAAAATTCAGTTACTGGTCACTTGAGATTGGTTTTTGAAAATTCTTTATTTATCGATTGGATATTATTTGTCTTTTGACATTAGTTATGGCAGGTTTTTTTGTAATGCAGAAGGGTTTTTTGTTTTAAAATTTTCCTGTGGGCTGGGGCTGTGGCTCAGTGGTAGAGCGCTTGCCTAGCCTGTGCGAGGCACTGGGTTCGATCCTCAGCACCACATAAAATAAACAAATAAAATTAAAATTTTTTTTTCATGTAGTCAGAGTTATTAATCTCTTGCATGATGTCTGGATTTTATTTATGGTGGGAGCTCAAAAGACCTCTCACACTTTTAGGGTCATGAAGCAACTCTCCCATATAATTTTTATAGTGTTTTTATACATTCAGGTTTTTTTTTAAGTTTTTTTTTTTTTTTTTGGATTTTTTTTCTGGAGGGGGGATATCAGGGATTAAATTCAGGGGCACTTGACCACCCAGCTACATCCCCAGCCCTATTTTGTATTTTATTTAAAGACATGGTCTCACCGAGTTGCTTATTAGCACTTCACTGTTGCTGAGGCTGGCTTTGAATCCGTGATTCTCCTGTCTCAGCCTCCACAAACTGCTGGGATTACAGGCATGTGACACAGCGCCCGGCTCATACATTCAGTTTATGTTTCACTTCTTACAGTTTGGGAAGAGAGAAGAGGGTTCAGCCTAATGTGCTTTTTCTAAATGGCTTTGATTATTTAACCATCTCTTCATATGTAGATTATCGTATTAGAGTTCTTCAGAGAAACAAAATGTGTGTGTGTGTGTGTGTGTGTGTGTGTGTGTGTGTATGTAGTGTTATTTATAATAACACTGGCAAGTCCAAAATCTGCAGTGTGGCTGGGTGGCTGGAGACCCCAGAGAGCTGCTGATACAGATGAGGTCAGAGGGCATCTGCTGAAATCCTTCTTCTCAAGAAAGGCAGGTCTTTTTATTGTAGTGTGGTCTTCAGAATAATTGCATGAAGCCCACTCACATTATGGAAGACAATCTGCTTGACTTAAATCACCCTTCTAAATTGTTAAATCCATCCAAAAACACCCTCCAAATTACCACACAAAATTAACTTTTGCAGCTGTCTTCCCTTAACTGATTGGAAATGTCACTTTTATCATTCGCTGAATTTTCTTTTGTGTTGTGTTTAGGGTTATTCTGGGATTTCTGTTCTTTTCCATTGGTCCTTCTATTAATGCACCAGTACTTTGCTGATTTAATTATCGCTCAGTATCTGATAAGATTAGTTTATTATTACTCTACAGAGTTTTGTTGCTTATTTTTTTCATGTACACTTCATTTCTTACTATGCTTTTCCCTAAGAATTTTGTCTTGTTGTTGTTATTATAATTGGGTCTTTTCTTTCGTAATACCTTTTTCAGTGAAACAGATGGTACTTGTAAAAGAAAAGTAGTAAAACAAATGAAGGTAGTTACTCAAATGATTTTTTGGTGGTGTTGCAGCTGATTGACCAAAGGCCATAACATAAAATTGGGTTT